GCGCGGCCTTGGCCAGAGCAGGCCCGGGAGGGTCTTTAGTCGCGGAAGAGTCTCGCCCCCAGAACGCGCGCGGCCTTGGCCAGAGCAGGCCCGGGAGGGTCTTCTGTCACGGAAGAGTCTCGCCCCCAGGGCGCGCGCGGCCTTGGCCAGAGCAGGCCCGGGAGGGTCTTTAGTCGCGGAAAAGTCTCGCCCCCAGGGCGCGCGGCCTTGGCCAGAGCAGGCCGGGAGGGTCTTTAGTCGCGGAAGAGTCTCGCCCCCAGGGCGCGCGCGGCCTTGGCCAGAGCAGGCCCGGGAGGGTCTTTAGTCGCGGGAAGAGTCTCGCCCCAAGGGCGCGCGCGGCCTTGGCCAGAGCAGGCCGGGAGGGTCTTTAGTCGCGGAAGAGTCTCGCCCCAAGGCGCGCGCGGCCTTGGCCAGAGCAGGCCCGGGAGGGTCTTTAGTCGCGGAAGAGTCTCGCCCCAAGGCGCGCGCGGCCTTGGCCAGAGCAGGCCGGGAGGGTCTTTAGTCGCGGAAGAGTCTCGCCCCAAGGCGCGCGCGGCCTTGGCCAGAGCAGGCCGGGAGGGACTTCAGTCGCGGAAGAGTCTCGCCCCAAGGCGCACGCGGCCTTGGCCAGAGCAGGCCGGGAGGGTCTTTAGTCGCGGAAGAGTCTCGCCCCAAAGCGCGCGCGGCCTTGGCCAGAGCAGGCCGGGATCCTTGGCCAGAGCAGGCCGGGAGGGTCTTTAGTCGCGGAAGAGTCTCGCGCCAAGGCGCGCGCGGCCTTGGCCAGAGCAGGCCGGGAGGGTCTTTAGTCGCGGAAGAGTCTCGCCCCAAAGCGCGCGCGGCCTTGGCCAGAGCAGGCCGGGAGGGTCTTTAGTCGCGGAAGAGTCTCGCCCCAAGGCGCGCGCGGCCTTGGCCAGAGCAGGCCGGGAGGGACTTCAGTCGCGGAAGAGTCTCGCCCCAAGGCGCACGCGGCCTTGGCCAGAGCAGGCCGGGAGGGTCTTTAGTCGCGGAAGAGTCTCGCCCCAAAGCGCGCGCGGCCTTGGCCAGAGCAGGCCGGGATCCTTGGCCAGAGCAGGCCGGGAGGGTCTTTAGTCGCGGAAGAGTCTCGCGCCAAGGCGCGCGCGGCCTTGGCCAGAGCAGGCCGGGAGGGTCTTTAGTCGCGGAAGAGTCTCGCCCCAAAGCGCGCGCGGCCTTGGCCAGAGCAGGCCGGGATCTTGTGTGTACATGTGTGTGTGTGTGTGTGAGGAGGCTAAGGAGGAGAATGAGGAGGCGGCGGAGGAGGCGGAGGAGGCGGAGAAGGAGGAGGAGGCGGAGGAGGAGGAGGAGGAGGAGGAGGAGGCGGGACAGCCTAAGAACCCCACACAGTGATGTGGGGAAAAAACTCCTACCACTACTGCTACTCCTACTACTACTACTGCTGCTACTGCTACTGGAAAATGCTACTGCTACTGCTACTGCTACTGCTACGACGACGACGACCACCACCACCACCACCACCACCACGACTACTACTACTACTACTACTACTACTACTACTACTACTATGACTATGTGGGTGCTGTGATCTGCCTGTAGTGAACTGTCCTTGCTGAGATCCTGCACTGTAGCTGCTGTTTTCCTTTCTGGAGTCACTGGAGTGTCGGTAGCTGAAGCCTGCTCTATCAACCTCTTGAGAGACGGTGCCCTTGTGCAACGAAGTCTGTAGAATTATAGCACGTCGTACTCTGGGGCCTGTGGCGCTCTACTACATACAAGGGGGCCGTCTACTCTAGTCTTTCGAAGTGGACGCGTCACCTGCAGCGCGGAGTCCGAACGAGTCCGGCAAGTGGGAGCCAAAAATTATGTGGGTGACAACACTTCCACTTCGATTTCTACTTCTGCTCCTGCTTCCACTTCTACTTCTACTTCTAGTACTGGGTATGACGAACACTACGACACATCCAGTACAACCATCACCGCCGCCACCTCCACCTCCACCACCACCACCACCACCACCAACACCACCAACACCACCACCAACTCCACCAACACCACAAACACCACCAACACCACCAACCCCACAAACAATCAAGCAACAGCAATAGCAACAGCAACAGCAACATGTCATTTTCATTGATTCAGACGCTCGCGCGGGTATTTCCGCACCTTGGCGGGCATCAGGCTACTCATTGTTCATGACGGGCCAGCTATTGGAGTTCAGCAAACCAAAACCCATACGGACCAAGCTAAAGGCAAAGTAAGCAAAGCTAGAAACGGCCCCATAGCTGGCCAGTCTTGCCTCGCAGCGATCTGCCAAAAGCTTAGCAAGACTTGCTTCACACGGCGATCCGTGGACTCAGCCCGTGCGGAGCGCAAAACTGCACCCTGCGCGCCGTTCCGAGGACACAGCGTGCGCAGTTGTTCGCAAAACAGAGGTGGCGGCGTATCACTCACAGAACTTACGGGCTCTGCTCGGCTGCTGTGCGATTTTCATAAGCAGAATCAAACAAGAAACTAACCAAAACAGGAAGGCTGGATCTACGCAGACTGTATCGTCGCAGATCTGGAGGGGCTAAGACCCTTGCACTGAATGCCAATAAGATGTTAACCGGACAAGAAGCTCGTTTTGAGTAAAACGGGCAAGCCAATAAAAGATGTATGGCGCACGTGAGAGCACCAACGTGCCACAGCTTCCGCGGACCAGTACTATGACCGGGTTGCACTTCAAGGAGATCGCTGCCCCCAGAACAAAGCTCCCACGTTCAAGTACTTGCAGCGTAGAGAACGAAGTTGGGTTGTTGTTGCTGTTGTTTTCGTTGGTTGGACTTGGAAGTTCGCGCTTGACCCGAGACTTAGCAAGGTGGGACTACTCTAGGCGCTGGCTTTCCCTGACTTCAGAAAAAAGTAGAAGCAAACAAACGTCCCCTTCGTTGATTTTGGCAAGCATCTGCGACCATCCCAAGCTGGTTTTACGAAACAAGCAAACGTCCGTGTGGTCTGTGAGCAATACCGAAATGAGTGCAAGCATTAGCCCGTGCCATCCGATTTCAGCTTCCGAAGACCAGAGGCGAAGACTTGAGGGCATTACAGAGATCTGCCCATCACGCAACAGGGACTCATGAGCATTTTCCAGTCTCTTGGCATGGTGGGGCTGCATCGGCGGAGAGCATCTGTAGATATGCTGAAAACGTATCCGTGTAAAAGCTGAGTAAGAATCCAAAGATCTGCTTTGCAAAGTGCAGACATGAACATGAAATAGCCCTGTGCCATCCGCTCTGTTTCGCCCTAGAAGACGGGAGCCCTCACGCTTAGGAGTAGAACGAAGTCGCTTAGCAAGATGTTGTTTCCCTCCAGATTTGGGATCGGGCCAGCTCCTGATTGATGCCTGCAATGTGGTGTGCCTGAAAAACGCGGGGCGCAGCAGGAATGCGAGACAACAAAGCCTAAGAGAGATTGAACGTGCAGTTCCATGCGCAGCTTGATCTGAACAAATATGTTGTTGGAGGGCCCGGGGACTGTTGGGATCTCACAAAGGTGGGTCCTCCACAAGCTGTCCTGTGGTGATTTGACAGCTACACATCGCGGCCACTTGAGCGGGTAGCGCTTCAGCAACAGCTATAGCAGCAGCAACGGCAGCAGCAATACCAACGGCAACAGCAACGGCAACAGCAACAGCAACAGCAACAGCAACAGCAACAGCACAGCAACAGCAAAAGCAACAGCACCAGCACCAGCACCAGCAACAGCAACAGCCACAGCCACAGCCACAGCGACAGCAACAGCAACAGCAACAGCGACAGCAGCAGCGACAGCAGCAGCAACAGCGACAGCAGCAGCAACAGCAACAGCAACACCAGGAGCAACAGCAAGAGCAACACCAAGAGCAACACCAAGAGCAACACCACAAACAACACCAACAGCAACACAAAGACCAACACCAGCAACACCACCAACATATTAACACCACCAGCACCACCAACACCACCAACTCCACAAACACCACCAACACCAACACCGCACCACCAACAACAACAACGACAACGACAACAACAACAGCAAGAACTATAATGGCAGCAACAACAGGTACAAGAGCAACAGCCGCAGCAACACCACTACCACCAACAACGACAACCAGCACAACCCCTACTGGGACTGCGATGGCACACGCGACTGCCGACGACTGCTGCTGCGGCTGCGACTGCTACTGCTTCTGCTACTGGCACTGCGTCTGTTGCTGCTACTGCTGCTGCTACGGCTTCTGCTGCTACCCCTAACGACTACGACGACTCCTTTTGCGACGACGACGACTACTACTATTGCTGCTAACCAACAAGTCCTATAGCTCATCCTGACCGATTCACTTTTTTCGGCCACCGGCGTCCCTGTGAGGCGATGTGGCACCTCAGCGCGCGGTACCCTGATTTCGTGATGTCCGGAACCTTGTTGCCTGCAGATGCTGTCTGTTTTACCAGCTCCTTGGGTGCATTCGCCACAGGGTGACGGCAACCACGGCACTTGAGATTGTGGCCACTGCGCACTGCAGACCATTCCCACATTTGCACGCACTGCAGGAGGGTTAACGTCCAAGGGCAGTCATGTCTTGATTGGCCGTGAAGGCGCATCATTGGAAGCCTTCGTTGCGACCGCCGGCTTTTGGCGGCCGCCTCCATCGCAGAAGATTGCAACGGATGCCTGCAGCATCGACTTAGACCAGCTTCCGCTGCCAGGTCTTTTGCTTAGTTACCCTTTTGCCCGGGACTATGATAGGCACGCTTATAAAGACTATTCAGTGTCACACTGTCATTTTAGGCACTCTCAGGTCACGCTGCTCTGCAGCGCAGTCTTTCAGGATGCGGGCTTCCACGGGTTATATGGATGTTTTGGGCACAAGGCCACGAGGGATTGGGAGCCTTCCGACGAGCCTGTATCAATTCATGGATGTGCAGAAATCCGGCGTGGCAAGTCATGCTGCTCAGTGCGCAGTCCTGCTTCCAGTATCTGTCGGAAACAGACCTGCCAACCACATGGCGCCACATCCGACTGGATGCTCAGGCTGATGCGGTCCGCCTGGCACTGCTCTCCAAGTACGGCGGAGTTTATGTGGATGTTAGCGTTGTTTGTAACCAGGGCTTGGACCAGTGGCTGGTACCTCACATGGACGGAAGAGTCACCCTCGCAGCCTTTGTGTTCAGGCAATTCGGGCGCAGAGACTGCTGTAACCACGGAGAGTACATAGAGAACTGGTTCCTCGCGTGTCCAAAAAATAGCGACCTCGTTCGAAGCTGGCAAGCTGCCTTTCTGCGATTTTGGGATGGCCGGACAAGCGCAACGGATCATGGAGGTTTGCAAGCCAGCTCCATGTTCAAGGGAGTCGATTTGAGCTGCATGCAGGAGTCGCAGAAGAATTATTTGACAATGCACTGTTGTTTCAAGTGGCTGATTGATTCAGACTGGCGGGCTAGGCATCTATGGAAAACCACGACCGTGCTTTTCTCTGCCGATGACGCACTGGGCTGGATTCTCGAACTGGAGGGCATAGGTACGGACTGGTTGAAGAGCAATGTCGCCGGGCGCCACGTTTCGCGGTGGTTGTACCAGGATGATGTTGCGTGGGTATCTGCGCTTGTGCAGAGGGCACCGGTTCTGAAATTCGTGGGTCTGCATGCGCAGGTTCTTGATAAGCAACCGTCCCAGCACTTGCTCCGCACCGGGAGTTGCATGCGTCGTTTGATGCAGCATGCTTTGCCGAAGCATTGCTGCACTGAAGTCCTTGACTGCCACAAGGCGGTTGAGATTGTCAAGTTGGAGTTCGAATTGGCCGAATGACGCTTCAAAAGACTTGGCCGCTTCGTAGCGTGACCGTCAAGCATGGGATTCCTGTCCTCCGGACGCGGGTGGAGATCTCACTCTTACGATTCTGCATGCATGAAGATAAAGCCAAGTCGCGCCGAGACAGCTGTCACAGCACACACGGCTTCGCAGTGGCCTGTCATAGTCCTAGCAACAGCCATGAGCAGCGGACATGCTTTCGCCAAATCACTGCTTTCAGCAGTAGGTGTCGAGAGTGTATTTACCTAGATACAGTAGGCATTCTGACAAGCACAGAACAGCCAAGTGTCCAGATGACCCGAGATGGATGCCGCCAGGTTCACAGACGCCTCGTGCCTTTTCATGGTTTCCTTCCGCTGCCAGTTTATGACTCGCAACACTATGCACAAACCACGGCCATCCCACACCATGCCAACATCGTCGGCTAAATGCATACTGTACACGCGCATACATACTTGCACGCATCCATGTCTATGCGCATACATACACGCATGCATGCACACATGCACCCAGGCAGGCACAATACAGGTATCCATCCATCCATACATACATATATGAACAAGCACGTGAAAGCACTTTGTATTGTTCCTCTATACTGCCAAGACAGTAATATAGGAGCCTTAATGATTAGACTACGGTTTGGGGACATATCATGCTATTGTGCAATCATACTCGAGGCTCCTGGTGGTGACCCGGCAGCGAGCTCTCTCAAGTTCCGCGCTTGGGGCCGAGATGCTGTAAAAATCGTTCTGTCTGTCCTACGGGGTTTAGGGGACCCCAAGAACAGGTACCCCTAATTTTCGGAACCCCCCTTATTGGCATCTTCAAGAACGCGCTTTTCCTTCCGGGTTGACCCTGGCAATTCGGTTGCATCTATGCGCAAGGACCTTTGTCAGGCTGTAAGAGGTTGGAAGGCAGGATTTGAGCCATTTCCTCGGGTTGTGGTTTCGTGAATCTGCTTTTGCTTGAGCCAAACCAACCATGCGGATCAGGAGAGCCTATTCAGCAATGCAGGAGACAGAAAACAGCGGCTATTGAAGACAAAACGTGACTTCGTGTCGTTTGACTAGATGGGCAAGCCATGCCCTACGCCAGCTTCAGGCTAGTAGCACCTGCCGTGTCCTTGCTGGGTTGTGGCGGCACTGCTTTCGTGTGCACAGACGAGGACAGGCGACGCTTGGCCGTGGAGAAGTTGTTATCGTTGCGCAGAGCCCTGCATGCTGCAGCATGCGTGGGGAACATGGCCGTTCGGTACAAGACCTTGTCATGGTGGCACAGTGCGCAGCCCGCAGATACTTACAGGGAGCTCTTGAGCAAAACCCACGAGGACTGTGCCCAGCTGGCCCTGAAGATGTGCCGGGGCAATGGCGGGCTGTTTGTGAAAATCGGTCAGCACGCTGCTACGCTGGCGCCGGCTGTGCCATCAGAATATGTACAGCATTTAGCACAATTGCAAGACCGCGCCCCCGCCGGAGACTGGGAGGAGGTGAAGATGGTAATCTGCTCCGAGCTCCACTTGCAGCCGACAGATTTGCATGATGTGTTCGACGAGTTTGATGTGGAGCCAGTGGGAAGTGCGTCCTTGGCACAGGTCCACCGCGGGAAGCTGCATGACGGGCTCGAGGTTGCTGTGAAGGTGCAGCATCGCCATATCGAATCGGTTGTGGCAAGTGATATCTTCATTGTTCGCTGTTTGGAGCGGATTATGAGTTATGTTTTCAAGCAGGAGAACTTTTCCATGGCGTGGGCCATCGACGAGTTCGAGCAAAACGTGTCACATGAGCTGGACTTTCTTGAGGAAGCGAAGCACGCAGATCGCAGCCGAGAGCTTTTCGAAAATAACCCGGACCTTGCGTCCTGCATCTGGATACCGAGAGTGCATCGCAAGTTATCAACACGAAGGTTGTTGGTGATGGACTTTTCGCACGGTGTTCCTATCAGTCGTGTAGTCAAGTCCGCACAAAAGAGCTCGAACAGGCTAACGATGTCCCCAGGTGAAGAGCGAGAGGCACAAGTGGCTTCTATTGCAGCCAGATTGCTTGTCCAAGCCTTCGGCACCATGGTCTTTTCGTTTGGATACGTGCACTGCGACCCTCATCCAGGCAACCTGCTCGTTGAGATCGGGAAGGAAAGTAAGAAAGCTCGCCTAGTGATCTTGGACCACGGTCTATATCGGGAGCTTTCGGAGCGGCGGCGCTGTGCCAACTGTGGACTCTGGCAGGCCATGGCATTGCAAGACAGCGAGAACTTGAAGAAGCACTGCAAGAGCCTGGGGATCGATAGCAGCACCGCAGAGCTGCTTCCGCTCTATTTCACGAACCGCTCCCTCGAGACGAAAGCTGGTTTGGGACAGAAGATTACGGCCGCACAGAAGAAGGAGCTGAAATTGAAACTGCAAAACCTTGGAATCCTTCCGCAGAGAGCCAGTGCGGCGTCTTTCGCAATATCTGGTTTGGGTCTGCTTGCCGATCGCATTCCTGGCGACATGCTCATGGTGATGCGTACGATGCACCTTGTGGCATCGTTGCATCGCGACCTTGGGGGAACGCCGGCGGAGAGATTTGCTACCTATGCTGTGGCGGCTGCTCGAGGCGGTGCGGGCAAGTGCATGTCCTCGAGACGACTCTCGCAGGCACTTGCGTATTTAAAGGTATTGGCTTTCAAGGCCAGGCTGTGGATGAGAGAGCTGTGCCTACGCATGCAGTGGCCATGGTCGGGACAGGCCACAGAAGAGTTCTCAATCGCTAGGAGTCTCGCAGAAATTGCGAACCACGAATGATGAAGCAGACATGAAACGCTGTCAAATGGAGACTTGCTGAACTTCATGTTTGGAATCTGCTTCCATGAAAAGCTCGTTTTTGCCACGCCTTGCACATGAATGAAGAGTGCGTAGAGGATGCTTACCGTAATGACCAAATGTCATTAACAGTAGTTTCCTGAACTCACCCGCCGCAGCGAAAGCAAGAGGCACCACCAAGGCGAATTCAAGCGGCAGTCGCGCGCAGAATCTGAAGCCTGCTACAAGTAACGCGCGTGAAGTCTCGTGAGCGTGTCCACCTCCCCAGCACCTCGTCTTTGTCTTGCATGGGTACCAGGTTCAGCTTCGGGGGACGCCTCAGCAAAACACTGCAACCAAAAGGGGGAACGCGTTGCGAAGGCTCTGGGAGTGCCCTTGGACAGACTTTCAGTAGGTGAATGCCTTGGAGCAGCAAGCGGAGCTGGCAGACCTCAAGAGGCAGCTGGATGCCGCCACCACGCCAGGGTCTGAAAAGGACGCAGGAGAGGAAGGGGCCAGCAGGGGGCCCAATAGGGGGATCCGTAGGATGGCAGTTTTCAGGATCTCTCCCCCCCTCTCTCATGGAATGACGTGCCTGCAAGCCAAAGGTTGGGTCAGCGCCAAGAGCAGCGGCTTCGACAGCGCAGAACCCAGGAGCACATGCATGCGCGGTGACCACGGACCTCTTCCCTCAGACCACAGGGGCATCTGCATGTTCGCAAGGCATCGAACGTCAGTGCGAGATTTATCGCATCAGCTTGAGGAGCGAAGCGGCGAAGCATGGCTTCTCCCTTCGGTTGAGCTTACTGGCCGCCCTCGGCAGGAGTTGGAGCAGCGCGTGGATGGTGCAACAGGCTCAGGAGTTCCGGAGGTGCTGAGTTTAGCTGTGCGACCGCGAGTTGTTGCAGCTTCTCAGGTACAGAAGCGAGTGGATACTGTGAGCAGAAGCATAAGCCGTGCCTGGCCAAGATGCGATTCGCAAGCTGCTGCTGTTCCCCCATGTGTTGGTTGCAACAGGTTCTGCAGAGGCAGTGGGTGTACAGGACTTGCAGCTGTCATATTCTGAAAGCTGTTGAAGTGGAATTCTCGATGATTTCTCGTTGATCATGTTGAGGAGAAACGGGGACAGCAGCTTGACCAGCTGGCACCAGCCCGAGATCCACAAGCGCAGCTATGGTTTTCCAAACTTTCAAGGTAAATGTGAAACCCTTGCCTAAGGCCAATTCTTCTTCACTCAAGCGTCTTCACCTCGGCCCAGTCGGCAACTGGCAAAGCCTTCAACGATTGCTCACTTCTTGCGTTATGTCAGGTGGTGCAGCCTCGGCCCTTTCTCATGGCTCGCCCAATTCCACGCGTGTCTCAAACTCCAGACCGGGGCCCGGCTTGGAAGTGCACATCTAGCAGGGCCTTCGCAGCGACTCAGTCGAGGAGCAGACATCAAGATCGAGGACAAACTTGAGGAACTGGAGAGGACGGCCGGGCCAATGCTGGAAAAGCAATGATGAAGCGAGCCTACCACGCTCCACAATGCGTTGGAGCCTTGCAAGGAGACTCTGGCAAGCCACACAGGACTCAGCCAGCGCAGAAACCGAGACACCGGCAAGTTCCTTCCTTTGCCGAGTCGCATCTGTACACTTGTGTGAAGTAGACTTCGTGACATATTCATTGCAGCAGTCTCTTGCCTTCTGCTTACGGGCTGTGCTCCTTTGGTCATTTATGCTGCTACTGTTGCCATTGCTTTTGATCGTGACCGCGACCGTTGTGACATTCATTTGCGCGTCGTGCAGGAGTTTGACAGGCGCTTGACGGAAGAGGTTCGGCTTAGTGTTGCTGTACCAGGGCTTATCCGGGATTGAAATTGGTGAGGCACACTTGTGGGTTCCACAGTTCGCTGTGGAATCTTAGGGTGTGGCGCTCCAGAATCAGGGCCAGGAGCAGCCGAAGCATGCAAGGACTTGACGTGGAACGAGAGGGAGGAAGACAGAAAGGGAGAAACGACGATCTGATCCTGGAAGTGTCCCTTGTCTGTGAGACTGCCCAAAATTCTGGTTTTTGTGGTGGGAGGCTTGCCGATCCGATTTACTCGGAACATGAGCAAGGGGCATCCCGACGCATGTATGCACCCCCTGTCGGCTTCCGTCCAGAGCGCACTGTTGGCTCGCGATGCCCCGGGCAGACCCTGCTCTCGATTTGGAACTTGCCATGCATGGGGCTTCAGGACTGCGCAACTTAGGAAGGAACCCAGGAGAAGCACGACCAGAAGGAGAAGCAATACTTCAGGGGCCTAGACGGCACACTTCGATGCAGGAGGGTGATGTGTGCATCAGCAAGCTCAACATGTACGCCCGGCTTTGGCATTCTTGCGGCTCGAAATAGTAGCCTCACATCAATTGCCCGAAGAGCCCCAAAGCCAGGGACTTACTTCAGCTTGAGCTTGTGGAGTCTACCACGTAGTGATGTAACGAGTCAGGTGGAGGGCAGGGCCTTGCCAATGTCCTCGGCGTCTTCGGATTCTGCATCCAGCTGAGCAGTGATAAGCCGCTTTCGCCTCTCTAGTTCAAGCTAGCCATCAAAGGCCAGTGTCCCCTTCACGACCGTGCTGAGCTGAGCTGACCAGCAAATCTGTTGGCCTGGCAGTGCAGCGAGTTTCATCTTCGTGAGGCTGTACTTGCCAGGGCTCGCTGTCGCTGTTCATGGAGAACCTTCAAGAGCATAAGCTCTAGGTTGCTAAGGCTTGTGGTTCCAGGTTCGAACATTCGATGCACTTGATTTGTGCAACTCATGAGTTCGACAGTTCCAAATTCTACATCATGGTTCCAAGGCTTTTGTCGTTCAAGCATGCTTGATGTATCTTGATGGCAGCAGAGCTTGACGACCTTCTAAACAGGTACCGGCTGCCTGATACTCCAGAAGCCCTCATGTCGGTTCGTGCGTGTGATCCGAAAACATGAGGTTGCTCCGTCAAGTCACCATGGTGAAGGTCATGGTGCTCTAGCTCAGCTTGGATGGGCATCATCCGCACGCAGACCCGCAGGAAGGACGGAAGATGCTGACCCACCTTTCGGTTGAGGTGACCACTCTCACGTTCACATCCATGGCCCGCTGGATCGTGACAAGGCATGTGATCGGATGCATAGACATGTCTTTGCATGTCTTCTGGTCTGCACACCCGAACAAGGCCCTGGGAATTGGAAGCCTCAGCTTTGAGCCGGTGACCTGGAGCTCCGCGAAACGCCAGTCTTCCAGCCTGCGCTTTGCATCTGAAGGCCCATCTTCAACGAGCGCTACAACAAAGATCGGGTCCGGGCCCGATTCTCCTCGCAGACGGCAATCTGGCAGGGTTTGACGTCAGGTGGCTCAAGAGACGAAGGGATTCCTCTTCTTGCAGCGAACACTGCCCATCATGCCTCTCGGTGATGATGGCCGGAAGCCGGTAGGAAGTGTGGACGTTGCAACTCAGTCAAGCTGATGATTGATACATTGTTTACCATGATACAGAAGCCTCTGGAAGAAGTCATGGGACGAGGATCGGATTGCTGACGGCAGGGACTGCATGGGTGGTGCCGTGTCTGCAGCCACCACGTTCACCAGGACACATTCTAATGTTTGTGCTGTAAGTGTTGGAAACGACGAGGTGGGCCAAGCCAGCGAGTTTCTTGGATCGAAGCGCACAGAGATAGTAAACCAAACCATCGTCCGGCTCTTACCTGCCGAGACGAGGGCCAAGCAGTAGAGCGGGGAAGCTCTCAGCAGAACTTGAGGTTGAGCGGGGATGGTTCTGGGCTTGGTGTGCAGGCCGGTGTGGGTGACACTGACGTCTGGCTTCTGCCCTCTCGCATCATTGCATAGGCAAACCAGTAACCAGGTTCTTATGGGTTCCGGTCGGAACATGAATGAAGGCGTTGACGCCTTCGTAAGGCTTTAACAACTTAACATGTGCGAAATAGGTGTGCGCGTGCATAGGCCCATAGGCCAGCCGTTTGGCCAATCGCAACGTCTCGGCGTATCGGTGGTCTTGCATCAAAACCACGCGGTTGCGACTTTGTGCAGAATTCTCCTTGATGGCACTCCTTGCCTTGGTGGGCGGCTTCTTCGTGTGCTCCCGGGTTCAGATCTTATGAGCAGGCATGACTCTGTAAGAAGCTTCAAACGCAGGTACTGCGGCGACATCTCCGGAACAAAGACCGCCGGGTCTGAGACACAGCACTTGCACCTTGCTGTGATGCCGCTATGCACGCAGATCCGATCTGGCACGGAGTTTGAAGCTTGGGGCTGCAAGCTGCAACCGTTTCTGCCATGGCTCAAGTGCCAATTAGCCAAAAGCTTACTGGGTTGTGGAAGTGGAAGCTGCAGCATGGCGCCCTCGTCGATCTGCGTCGCCGACTGTGTTCTCGGTAAGCCCCAGGACGAGAGCCCCCGAACACAAACGCCTACTTCCACACGCAGTATGCTGGAGTGCAGCGCAGGTAGTCAGGCTACCACCAGCAATGCCCCGAACCCTGTGATGCTGGGCATGAGCAGCACAGGACAGGAGCAAAAACCCGCTTCATCAGAGTGCTGTGTTCCGACTCCCCGAGTTGCCGTGACCACGTCTCTGCCCGTGCTCCTGGGACGATCCCACGTGACTCAGACTCCACAGCGTCAAGATGGTGAAGCAGAAGCTTGTGCTCGTGCAGCTCGCGAAGCTTTCCTGGCAAGACAGGGGAGACGAGCCAGCAGATTCACAAACTTAGTCTAACTCGGCCGACAAGAGGGGCAGTTGCGGGTAAGTGCGATAAGTGAGCCGGATGCACAGACCCCGGCTCGGATTTAGCAGTGCATGCTTTCTTTCGGCCCCTTCTACAAGGAAATTACCTCAAGGGGCATCTAATTCGAGCAGGCTTCCTGGCCGTAGCGTGCAACAGTCACGGGTGGCTTGAGGTCATGGCCTGACTGGCCTACTCACGGTGCGAAGACATGTCAGAGTGCCCAAACAAGCCTAAACAGCAGTTCGCCAGCGTCTGCAGCGTGTGCAGCCCAGCACACTGCCTGTGCAGGTCCTCTGGCATTCCGCAACTCATCGGCTTGCTCAACGGCTGCGATTTGAAGGGCGAGTTCACTTTCAGGATCGCTTCGAGTGCTTTCTGGAACATCAAGTCCCCCGGGGCGATTCGGGCGGAAGAAAGCTGTCGTGCAGTCTACCTTGCATCTTTCGGCCCGTATGTCAGCTTGCTATTATGTGCCTCCTTGCAGGCATCTGCTGGTAAAGTGGTTCGGCGTGTGTTTGGCAGTGGCTTCCGGCTTGGCCGTGGGTCCAGAGGGCCCTATGATTTTCATCGGCGCAGATCTCAGCTGCACGGCGTAGAGTTTCATCGGGCTCTGCCGTTTCCGCCGAGGTGCGAGCATTGGATACCTCTTCTCCAGGCTCCAGGGTCATCCGAATATTCAGTGTTGACATGCTGACTACCAGTAAAACAAATCGAGTGAAAGCGAAGTCTTCCTTGTTGGCGATGCTTCAATTCTGAGCCTTGCCTTGTGCAAGGTTGCCACAGAATCCCACTGTTTGGCGATTGCTGGGCACTCCGCCTGCAACAGTGGGTGCCGGCCCCAAACTGTTCTTCGTGGACAGCCCCTCACCACAGCTAGATGTGGCAGGTGACGATGTGTTTACCCGTGACTACACATCGATTGGTGCTGCTTGCGGAATTGCTGCGGCGTTTCGAGCACCAATTGCCGGGTGCACGGCCAAACTCCGTGTGCGGATGTCCCCTTACATGTCATGTTTTCCTTGGCCTGCTTCCTCGGCCTCGGACGCTTTTCCTTCACATGATCCTCTGATCTCATGAGGGGTCCGGGTAGCTGCTCTAAGGCTGGCACCCTTTTCATCGTTGAGGAAGCAGCTTCCCATTTTAAGAAGGACCGGGACTTCCATCACCCAGCATGATGTCGCCCGAGTCCGCACATTTCGTGAAGTAGGAGCAGATGGCCAACATCTTTTTTGGAGGCTCAGTTTTCCGAAGTGGTGTTTTCCAGGTAGGTTGTAATTTGCCAGGCCTTGCTGCTCTGGAGGCTCTTACTTTTCCCCCAATGCATCGGTTCCGCCCAGCCACACAGAGTTCTGTCAGGTCATCCTCCTAACAGGCGGTGCAGGAGCAGTTCTGGAATACAAGGCCCTCCTTTTGGTTCTCGCACTTGTTTCTTGCGATTCATGGTTTCATCCTGCAAGGTCCAAGTCGGCCCCGGCTGCAGTGACACACCCTACTGGCAGTGCCCTCAGTTACTTGGCTCCTTCTTTCTGCACAGAGTGACCACGGAAGGACGATTCTCTTCTGCGTGGTCATCGGGCTGCTCTGCGGTGTCGTCGGCGCGGCCTTCAATGCATTGAACATTCAGGCAGCTCGGAAAAATTCACATACAGCCGTAATGCAGCCGAAATTGCCAGGTCATGGTGTGGCGCTCGCGATACTGCAGTGCCGCGAGGCTAGCATGTCCTTCCAGTCGAAGATCTGAGAGATGGGTTGTCTTTTTTGGTGATATCCCTCGGTCAGCCCTAGGCCTGCCCGACGTGCCATGGAGATCCTGATCCTGTGCCTTCTGAGTTCCACGGCGCGTGGTCCTGAAATGGCCCATGTGTGCCACCTTGGAAGGTTTGGGCGGTTTTTCGCTGAGGTGGCTGGGTGTTGCCACCTTGTTCGGCGAGCGGGAAGCTGCCTGGCTTTGTAAGGCCGCCTCAGAGCATGGCTCCTTTTCAGAAAACGTGAGGCCTCCTCCTCCACGCTCTTCGCTCAGAGCAACGGCTGCATTAAAGATGATTACAGAAATCAGGCCCGGGCATGCGCCTTCGTGCAGTAAAGCCGTGCAAACAGCTGCCTCTGTGTAGCTGTCGCCCAAGCCGTTCTCAAAGCCGTAACCTGATGTCCATGCGCCCTCAGATCATCAACGGCTCTGTGATTGAGCGTCAGGGACGGGTGCACGTTGCAGTCTCGGCTTCGACTGCCAAAATGGTGCCAGGGATCCACTCACTGCTCCGAGGTTCAACGTTATTTCCCAGCTCCGTGCTTGTATGGCAGGGGTCCCACGGGTGGCCTTAGGAACCGGCACGTGCAGAGACTTGGGACTGCTATGTTTTGCAGCATCCGCAGCTGCGATGAGACAACAACTCATCTAGTCTAGTATGCAGCTGAGGCGTCCAGTACGGGAAGATGTGCAACGAAGCGCCTTTGACAACACCAGTGGGATTCCGCGCTCACGTTGAGCTGAAAGCCTCATGCCTGCCTGACCTTGACATAGGTGCATGCTTTGGCTCCAAGCAATCCTTTCGCCAAGACTTGTGTCCAAGCAGCCACAGCCTCGGCATACTGTTCTCCTCCCGGAAACTCGTGGAAGCTGGGTAAGTAGTTCATGCTCTGGAGTCGTTGCGGGCTCTCGATAGTGGTCGGCTGCCTGGGCCATGGACAAAACAGAGCCGTGCCTTTGAGAATGAGAAAGAGGACGTGGAACTAGATACTATGGATACAGTGATACTAGTAGCCCTTTGTTCGCCTTCATGAAAGCCTGTCGAAGTTCTCTCTCTTTGCTCCTGTCATTTCGCCTTGTGCTCATTGATTTTTGTTGTATGCATACGCACATGAATACGATCAAAACGTGTCAAAACCAACGGTGCATGCGGCGAGCTCTCGGCTCGACGGCCCTAGCCTTGAAGTTGTTTTGTGCCGAGATTGCAATGGCAATGTTGATCATGACGCACGTGTTGCATACAACAGCAAAGAAAAAGTGTGGGAGCAAAGTGGTATTCGGTCGGCTTCGTGCAGCAGAGCAGAACGAGCAGCAGGAGCAGCAGGAGCAGCAGGAGCAGCAGGAGCAGGAGGAGGCGGGGATGGTGGTGGTGCTGGTGGTGCTGGTGGAAAAGGACACAGAGAGCAACACCAATTATGCTCGCAAGCCTCATGTTTTTGCTGCTGTTTGTACTGTTGTTTGTCGCTCGGTCGCCGGCACGCCTTTCGATAATCAGGTGACTACTCCGGACATGCAGAAGCTCACAGATTTCCAGGCAGGCGTCTCACACACAACCAACTAAGCAATAGTCTGCCCAAGCTTTGGGCCTCTCCTCAGTCAGGACTACTGCTGCAGTTTTAGCAGCTTGCACGATTTGAAAGCAGGGAGTTTTTCCGTCCATACCTCAGGCAAATTGCAGTCAGAATGTTCGGTGACATGCTGAAGCGATTCTCGGGTTGAAGAGCAGGTGCCTGGCAACGCCTCCTGTCCGATTGACCTCGGAGAGTTTGCTCCGAGCCTGAAGAAGGGCCAGGAGACCTCCGGCCTTTCAGAGTCTCCCGACGAGCATTCCAGCCAGGCCCCCTGGACTGTACCGCTTGAAGGAGCAAGGCCAGGGCCCCTTAAACTGTGCACAGCTCTGCGCCGAGGTTTCAACTCGGTGGGCTTGCTCAGCTTAGTTCCTTTCAAAACGGCCTGCGAAGACCTGAGTCCAGTGTTGAGACTTTTTGGGCTAAGTAGCTTCGAAAAGGTTAGGCAGAGCAGGCCACTCCCTGTGGATTGCGGCACAGAGGCCAAAATCTGTTTGCCCGTGGGATGCCGAACCTGGTCAGAGCCTGACTTGCTGTGCGGGAATGATGCGTGGTGCAGGCTTTTGCTTTTGATGAAAAGCCTGTGCGCAGCAAATGCCAGGCAGAGTGGCATGGAGGGTACGGTTGATCCCCGATTCTTGACCGCCCTTCGCCCCCCGTCAAGGCCGTCAAGTTCGCCTGACCGCCCGATGAATCCGAACCCGAAATCTTTACCTGTGCCATTCCGAACGCAAACCAAAACATCTTTCAGGCGTCTGTTCAGCGACCAACTCCACACATGGCACTCCCGCAGCCGCAAATTTCCAGCAACGGCCAGAACATGCTCGGGTTAATTGCAGGGCTCGCAAGCCTTATTTGGGTGCTGGTGTTTCTATCACGAAATGGGCGGGAGACACAGACACAGGTTGCCTGTAAACATGGGCAGCTTACTACTCGCAGCTCAAGATGAAGATGCCTCCTGGCATCTCGGTGGGCTCAGCATGACGCAGCATCCCAAGGTCACCATCGAAGCCATGGCAGCCTTTCTCGCCGGGCACTTTGCCTCCTCGTGGGCTGTCGTGTGTGTGCAAAGCACGAAGGTGCTGTTCTTCGTCTTGGCCGCGATCACTGCAGGGAGTTGGCCTCGGCTGGCTACTTCGTAGTTGAAGAGTGCGAGACACCTCGCATAAACGTTTGGTGTGTTAGTGGTCCGGAGTGCCGTGTATTTTTGTGGGCACCCAGGTCTGCCATTCCGTCCGGGACGCTCATGCCACAGATGGCCCGTGGCTCATTGCGCATCCTCTGGTGCTGCCCACTTCCCGGCAAAAAGTTGCCTTGCAAGGTGATTGGAGGTCTGATTGGGCGGATCTTGGTGACACGGCCCAGCAGAAAGAGAGTGAGGGAGTGAGAGAGAGCGACAGGCACAGTCGGATTGAAGTGCTTTCATGAGGGGGAGCAGTTAGGCCCTGTGGAGAGAAGCGTCAGGAACAAAAGGCAGGGATCATGGTGCAAAGCGAAGTGTGACAAGGCCCGGGGAACCCTCTTATGTGTGATCACACCGAACCGGCGCACTGCCTTAGGGGGGGTTGCTCCTGTTTCCCTTTGTCTGAGTGTCCCCTAAGTCCGACAGAAAGAAGGAACAGAAGACAAAGAACGAAAGTAATAAAGAACGGAAGATTAAGCTTCAGAGAAGAAGTCACGGGGCACCCTCTTGCCCGGGATGCTCCATGATGGTCCTCGCCCTGAACTCGCAGGGAGAAAGCTGAAATAATGTGAGAGAGTCTGTGTCTGTGTATATGTGCGCAGTCCAGTGCGGAGCACATGCTGGGATGCCTTCGACCAACGACAGCAGTAAGGCGGTCGTCCTGATGAATATCCAATCAGCAACAATGCCCGGGACAGGACTGATCAAGATTTTGCCAGGCTTGTCCACACACAGTCTGAGCATGGGTGCAGACCCTGGGCAGTGAGGCGCAAAGTCTATTGTGATCTGCAGGAACGTCTTGGGCGCAGCCGCCGAAGGCTCAGTGGCAAGTGCTGCAAGGAGCAGGGAAAACAAAACCGGGGATGCATGCAGCACTGCCCTCCAGGTACACAGTGCTTTTCGGATCTGGAGGCTGCGGTAAAGAGTCAGAAGAAGGTCGAAGACCGCAAGTGCCAAGAGTTGAAGCGCTGAGGTGTGTTCCCAGATGGCTCACCGGTGACTCTGGAGCCGAACGGTTTCCTGGATCCAGGGCCCTTGGCTCAGTGGTCGTTGCTTGGCCGCTTCCAGGCCGTCATGTACCTGGACAGGATCGCCGCATTGATGGGGGCTGCAGCCTTCCTCGGAGGGAGTGGGCGAGCCCGCGCCTTGGTCTTCTGGGGCGGGCTGGCGCTTGGACGGGTTGCTGGCATAAGGTCACTCTCTTCACCACCGTCATGATGGTCGAGATTACAGGCGATCCAGCAACCTTCCAGCATCAGTTAAGGTTACAACAGGCACTATAGGGTCGTAGCCCAGTTTGCTCTTGCAACAACTTGCTGCTGGTTGCTGCTAAACCACTCCTCAGGTCATGATTTTCCCTGTGGGTTTCTCCACGGTCTTTGCCGTGCTGGTGGGAAATCTGATCAACCACGGCCTGTACCACTCATTGATTGACGCTGGAAGCCAAGTGGTTTCGGTCCCTCGCGGGCTAAACCAGCGCTCAGGTAGATGGGAAAGGGGTGCAGCGCGATTTCGATGAGCTTGCGTCACAGTGAGCAGCTAGATTTTTGTTCCCTTGGCGCAGTGTTTTCTCGTGCTTCATCATGTATGTTTCAATCGGAAACCTGGTTTTGCTCATGACACATGAAGCATTGATCACTCCAAACTACTTACTGGTAGCTACTGAGGTCCAATCCACGCCGTATCTCCCGGACACGTGGCAAGCGGACCAGCTCCCGCCCGGGATTGTTGCCGGGAGCTTGGCTGCGCAACGCGTCCTCAGCTTGGTTTGTCATGGTCTGAAGACCGAAGCTTCAAGCGGAGCAGCGAAACCCTGCCCGTGTGGACACAGAAATTGAATTATGGTCGCCGGCATCCAACAAACAGTCGCATGCGTTTACTCCCAGGTGGGTGTGATACATGTTAATCAATCAGTGGGCAGACATGGGCTGCGGGCCTTCAGTATCGCTCACTCGGGAACAGTCCGGGGAGGTAGAAGTCTTCTGGGCAATGCTGAGAGGTTCGCGACATGATGCCGAAGAACAAACCGATTGAAATTAAGCTGGCTGGTGGACGGGAGGGCATCAAAGATGCCCTGAAAGGCTCATCTGCCGTTTTGGGTTGCTTCAGACTGCAGCGACTCTTTGTTACAGCGGAGAATCGAAGTGTCAGGCAACAATTTCTCCGGATTCCCTGTGGTCGATGCCAAGCGAGTCGTCCAGCACCCATCACCGCTGTAATTTCCTATGGCTGCTGGCGGTCTGTAGCAATCGAAACGTAGCCGCCCTCTAAGCACACAACCCTTTTCTTCAGGTCGTGGGAATGGTGGACCGGAAAGATCTGGAGGAAAGCCCTTGTTGCCTCATGTTGCATCCGTATGAGACTTGATCCGCTGGATATGTATCTGCAACCATGCCCTGAGAGAGCGCAGCTTAGGAGCTCTTGGACCAAGATGATGAGATCACGGCTGAGGAGCGTGGGCCTTAGCGAGGCGACTCATGTTGCCAGGCCGTAGAAATCGAAAGGCGCGACATGGGAATTTGGCTCGACGCTGACGGACCTGTGTCAACTCTTGCAATGCTGAGTCTGAAGCGCTGCTCCAGTTTGTATCCAGCCGGGAGCTCATCAGCCTCGAAGGTGAATCACCGATCTCTTTGTGAAAGACCTTGGGAACAATGGTCACATGAGGTTACTGTTCGGGAGAGCTTCCCGCTCCAAAGCGCCTACCAGCTCTTCAAGAGCATGGACTGTGTTGTCCTTGCCCACAGGTGCCCCTGCACTGTTGCCCCTTCGCCTCAGCAGGACATGAAAAATCTCGTGGTCGTGGATGACAATCACGCGCCACTTGCGGTGTCGCTGGCATGCGTTTCCCTCAGCCTCCCTGGCGCTAGGAGTATCAAGCTGCAACTGCAGGTGATGACCCGCTTTGCCTTCCTGGCTTGGCGAGTGGCAGACAGGCTCGCTTTTGCCAAGCAACGCGCGCCGTCCATCTCTAGCCCGTCCATGTACAGCTTTGCCACGACTAACCCCACACGATGGCCATAAATCCTTCGCGGTGTCAGGATGGGCGGCCGAATCCATGAACTCCACGAGCGCGAGTTGCAGAGGTAGCTGTTTGGTAGCGTGATAGAATGCTGCAGGGAGTTCCGCATCCTTTCGCTGTTGACCGACCACCCAAAAGCAATAGATTCGGCCGGAGGCGACGATCTCGTCGCAGAAGCTTGGCCTTAGCATCATGCCAAATCTTGGAAGCCGGCGGTAGGCTGAACGTGATTCTGTCCAAGGATCAGGCCTTTCGCCGGCTAATCAAACTTCATATGTGGCGAACCTATCTTCACATGTGGAGAGCAACGACGAAAGCCGAGCCTGACGCTGGCAGGGAGGTGGTTCGTGGTTCTTGCCGTGATGGTTTGTGCGAACATGCTTGCATAGCTTCGTTCAGCCGAAGTGAAGCTCCTGGCGGAATGATTTGATTCTGAAGGGCAGGACCTGAATGCGCACGGCTCACCGCGAATGCGGCATGTTGAGCCATTTCGCTTTACTGAGGGACTTGATGTCTCAACGCTGGACATTACAGCCCGACTAGCAGCATCCTTCATGTCCTGGTGCTATGCCCTACTTTCCATCCAGCATCCAGAGCGATGGTGTAGTGTCTGCAAAGGTAGATAAAGGTCGTTTGTCGGTGTTATCTGCACTGAGAAGGCTCTTGCACCAGACATGCTGGGAGTCTGCTGTGCTTTATCCGCGAGTAAATGTTCCGTGGCATGTAATGCGACCATGTCGCGTTTCTGCCAAGAGCTGCGGTGCATGCTTTGGATGGCTTGGAGACTCCCGTGCTTCATGTGACATTTGAAGAAGGCGCGGCTTTGAGAGTCGACTCGCTTCCGAAACGTAGTGGATAGCTTTCATCAAGGACTGGCTGTGAACTCCTGGAGCCTTCCAGCAGAACCTCGCATGCCTTCGCAGCTCGTCGTGTTGTGACCTTGCGGCCTCAGAAGTCCTAGACCGGCAATGGAAAAGGCTTTGTTCACTGGATAGCAATCAGATTGGACTGAATCGGCTTGCAATGTCATGTCGCCATGACAATGAACCGTTCTACCTTGTGTTCAGTTTCTCGGCAGCGATGCTGTGACCTTCGCTCGGAAAGATGCTGCTCACGCGGACAACTGGATTGATCGCCCAGCCTGTTCCGGAGAAATTTGAGCAAAAGATGTTGCAGCCGAAGCTCTCCGTGAAAGTCCCTCCAAAGTGGTTCTCTCTCTTTGTCTGGCAGCAGACCTGGCCTTAGAACGGTCTAGGGCAAAGCGAGGTTTACGGTATTTGCGGGTCCCGTCCGACTTGGCCGCTGCCCATAGCCACACTCGCAGCTGTTGTGGATCAAAGATGGGGAATGCTGTCTACAGTTAAGAAGGGTCTGCCAGTCAACAGGACTCGTCTTAGCAATGCACCAGTGCAGTGTGCTCCTTTGCATAGAGTTCGGTCTCCTCTTTCCAGGACACCCAGTGCATCGCGGCGAAAGGAAAAGAATGACGCAAGGCTTGTGGTATCCTGACATGCCGAAGCTTGCTCTTCGCCAACCGCTTGAGTCGTTCCTAAAACAGTTGTACGTAGGTTGTAAGCATGCCACCACAGTAGATCAGCTGGCAGATGCCCTCACCCTGCCTGATTCCCTGCAGGAACACATCGGTTATATTGAGGTGGAAAGAGAGCTTGAAACGTCTGTGACCTTGACTGAAGTTGGCGCAGACTATATGACTCTTTCATTCTGGGTTCTGACTGTTTGTTTGCTGAGCCGCTGCAATGAGTTGTATTGTGGTTGTTCGGTGTACTGTAATCGGGAGTGAATCGAACTCCTGACCTTCACAGAGTTTGCCTAGCTTCCTCTTCGAACCTTGCCTGGACTTGTCCGAGTGTAAGCGTGAAAAACGGAAGCTGATGTGCAGGGACTTTCCCATAGTTGTAGAAAGGGATGGGGCCACCTGCAGACCAAGCGCCTTTTGAGTTCTTACCGAGGCGAGAGCTACCCTGGATCACACCATCTGTTGTGCCGATTGATTTATTCTTTTTCCGTCGCATCTTCTCCAGGCAGGGTCTCATGAATTGAAGGCACCACCATCATAGTTGCAAGTGTCCTGCTTGGCTGCTGAGGCTGTACAGCCACAAAGCTGCACCTAGTGGCGTTGGATCGTTGTATCCTTGTGTTCAACCGGACATGTGGGGCAGTAGCAAGTTTTGCCAAGGTCAACATGGCGATAGCCACGGAGAAGTTCCTGTTAGCGTATTTCAGCGAAGTGTTGTTCGACTCTTTCGCTTGATGCAGATGGATCGGCAGGCTGCAGCCATTGTACAACCTCCCGCCCGCGATTGTGTTTGCAGCAACATGACATTCTGAACAGGTGATCTGAACAACGCGTAGCAGTGTAGCTGGCAGGCTGAAGAGTTCTCGGCTGACGAGTACGACGTGGATGGTTCTGGCGCGGTTGGGTGGTATGAATTTGTGACTGTCTGGCGAAAAGCCGATCCTTCGTCTTGCATTTTGAAACGGGCCGCACGCGACCAGGCTGTGCCAGGAGTTGCAGCAGGGACAGAGGTTGCTGTAATGTATCCTTTAACAGCCCGCATCGTATCGACTTAGTGGATGTGCACCTGTTTTCTGTCAGCACGGGGCTGAATCGGACCGTAGTTTCATCTTTAGTGCAGTCGCTGCATACGGAAGCTCCAGAGTATCTCAGATAGACTCGTGTGCCTGCTGCCTGTCGTGACCAAGTGTGTGCTGAAGACGATAATGTCCCAAAATGCACTTTTGGCATCCCGAGGATGTCTCCGTCAAGCTCTCGCTTCCTGAGCGAATTTTTGTGTTAATGGAAGAGCCTACATCGTCTTTCCTCGGTGTCATGGCAAGTGCCGCACCCCAATTTTAGCTTTACATAACAGGTGCTTCTGCATTTGAGGGCTTGATGCTGTGGCTATGTAAACATACTCAGCATTGTGGCCGCGAGAACTAAGGTGCCCTCCTGAATGTCTTGATTTTTCTCTCGTGCGCGGCGTGGCTGTGAAGATAAGCTGATCCGCACTTCTGCCGTTACGAGCGGATCAGAGTACCGTGGAGTTTTCGGGTGGTCAAAGAGGGGATGAAGATTCATGCAGGATTGAGGAAACTGCGAGGGAACATGCCGACGGCATGTACGCATGGTTGTGCAAGCTTCGTTTGCAACCGAGTAACAGTAGGTCAGTAGGCATTACTGTAATGTGAAGGCATGTGAACACTGCTAAGGCAGGATGCACGCACAGACTACGCTTCCCCTCCGCTTCTGCCACGCACTCTTTCACCATCTTTACCATCTTTCACCCTGGTGTGCTCACTGGCCCACTCCCTTAGTCACACACATGTTCGCGCCTGCTTCTATTGATGTAGACCTCTTGTATTCTGGCCGCTACTCGTCGCCTGCACCATGTCAGCTTGCTTTCGTTGGCGCCTGTTACGTGAGTGCATATGTTGCGAATGGCCTCGTGTACGGTACCTGGACCTACCATGCAGGTTTGCTTCATGATTGCAACCCTGCCGGAGATGAAAGAGACTCCGTGCGACGGGTGTGAGCCGGAGCAGAGGAGGCCTTCTTACGTCGTATACATATATATCTATACTCAGGCATGCATCATCCATCCATGCGTCCATCCATATGTCCGCCCGTCCATCCATCCATCCAGCCAGCCAGCCAGCCTCCATCCATCCATCCGTCCCTCCCTCCCTCCCTCCATCCATCCTTCCTTCCTGCCATGCCAGGGCAGGCCATGCCATGCCATGCCATGCATGCATATACATGTATATATATATATATACACAAATGTACAATACCATCATAAATAAGTATAAATATCAAAAGACATATAAATGCAAATATATATATATATATGTGTGTGTGTATAAACATATGTGATGCATGGTGTTCTTGGTTGGCCCCAGCCCGGCTTTGGCGTGGAGCCTGCGGTCTTGCTAGGTTTGTTGATCGCTGGTCGTCTCAATTCTCCCAAGTTGTGTGTTGCTGCTGAGCAGTTAGCAGACTAGGGCCGGGCGGCAGTTTGTTCTACAGATGTATGATTGCAGCCGTTTGCTAGTAGTAATGTGATCGTTGTGGTGCTCGTTATGATGCTTCAGGATTTGGATGTTGCCCTTTTCTCCTTGCAAGCGGTGCACCCGTCCCGGCTCTCACGTGGTCCTCCCTCTACGCATATGTCGTGCTGCGGACAATTGCAGTGACGCCCGTCACCTCCGTCGTCCTCCATCCCTTTGGTTTGCATGCTTTTGTTCCGGTTCGCGGTGGCGATTCCATCTTCCGAAAACGATGACTGTCACCAGGACGCTGGGATACCATTGGGGAGTAGGGGCGGGACCCTAGACCCCATCCCCCCCGGCGCTGGCCCAGGTCCAAACGTGCCGACTCTTTGTGACTGTGTGCACTTCTCCCACGGCGGCTCCAAAACCGTTAACTGTCACGAGAATCTCGTCCCAAACGCACCCGATCCTTGTGACTTGGACACTTACCAACCACGACATGAGAGTATTCAAGAATGCAGGCCTGTCACGACGTTCCCGACAGGCCCGGTTCCCGTGACAGTTGACCCAAGAAAGGATGATGATGATGATGATGATGATGGTGGCACCAACTCCCCCAAGCAGACGCCTGAGGCACGCCAGACCCCAAGCAGAAACACGAACCACACCAAACAACTTCGCCCCTACCAGACCATACCAGGGGGGGGAACGCCAGACGCTTGACCATACGTACATACATATATATATATATATATATTTATAATCTACACACACATAGATATTCTTTTATCGATTTCTCATTGAATCGAGTCGCAAGCGAAGCAACAGCCATGAAGGAGGTTCAACATTGCCAGAGACTGCCGCACCACGTTTTGTTCTTTGTGTCTCGATGCCTTCGACCCTGAGGGAGTTCCAAGCCTTCGAATCATTTTGTGTTGGGATCTTCGCGCTGGAGCTTCGTGGCAGCAAGTTGGATCCAATCTCACCAGGAACAGCATCGATCGACTGAGATATGCCATCTCAGGTATATCGTGAGGGTGTGCTCCGCGCCATTTACGAGATCCGAACTCTTGCACTATGAGCAGTTTTTGGAGCATGTCACAGACAACCAGGTTCGGACAGTGATGGGGACCATGTAGGTGTCATGTCATAGCCATAGCCGTCTTTTCTGACGGCAGCCGCGGGAAAGTGAGTGATGCTTTTACTGGGACTGGCCATAGGCTGCTGCCAGATGTCAAGTGAAGCCGTCTGTCCAGGCCAACTTTAGCCCTTCCCGCTTCGTTCGTTTCATGGTCTTTGTCATTCAGCCCATGAAC